TGATCGTGCATGGAATAATAGAAAACGATTTCGGTTCAGTTTTATTGGTTTTACGGACTGAGATAATGGTTAACAGAGACAAACGGGGGCATTTGTATGGCCCCGTGAGAGGTGAAATTCTTGGACCGTGGCCAGACAAACTACAGCGAAAGCATTTGCCAAGAATGTCTTCATTAATCAAGAACGAAAGTCAGAGGTTCGAAGGCGATCAGATACCGCCCTAGTTCTGACCGTAAACGATGCCAACTAGCGATCCGCCGATGGAAATTATATTGCCTTGGTGGGGAGCTTCCCGGAAACGAAAGTCTTCCGGTTCCGGGGGAAGTATGGTTGCAAAGCTGAAACTTAAAGGAATTGACGGAAGGGCACCACCAGGAGTGGAGCCTGCGGCTTAATTTGACTCAACACGGGGAAACTCACCCGGCCCGGACACTGTGAGGATTGACAGATTGATAGCTTTTTCATGATTCAGTGGATGGTGGTGCATGGCCGTTCTTAGTTCGTGGAGTGATTTGTCTGGTTTATTCCGATAACGAGCGAGACTCTAACCTACTAAATAGCTGGTACATACTCTTAGTGTATACAGCTTCTTAGAGGGATTTGCGGTGTTCAGCCGAAAGAAATTGAGCAATAACAGGTCTGTGATGCCCTTAGATGTCCGGGGCTGCACGCGCGCTACACTGGCAAAATCAACGTGCTTGTCCTACCCCGAAAGGGGCGGGTAAACCATTGAAAATTTGCCGTGATTGGGATCGGAAATTGCAATTATTTTCCGTGAACGAGGAATTCCAAGTAAGTGCGAGTCATCAGCTCGCGTTGATTACGTCCCTGCCCTTTGTACACACCGCCCGTCGCTGCCCGGGACTGAGCCATTTCGAGAAATTTGGGGACCGTTGATTTAATTTATCTAAATTACTTTGATGGAAACCAATTTAATCGCAGTGGCTTGAACCGGGCAAAAGTCGTAACAAGGTAGCTGTAGGTGAACCTGCTGCTGGATCATTACTTTATGTGATGTTCAAATTTGAATTCGCAATGAATTAATCGTTGTGAAACGGCTGTCGCTGGTGTCTAGGTATTGCTGATACAGTTGTGAACGTCCGTGGCTGTATATGTGGTGACATGTTAGGACTCTAATGAGTTTAAGACTTAATGAGCCTCTTAGGTGAGGACGCCAGCACTCTTTTTTTCTTTATATTTAAAAAAACGAAAATTTCTAGCCTTATCGGTGGATCACTCGGCTCGTGGATCGATGAAGAACGCAGCAAACTGCGTTAACTACTACTTGAAAAAATGTTTTAAAACGAATGCGGTGGGTTAACTACTACTTGAAAAAATGTTTTAAAAGCGAATCCGGTGGGTTAACTACTACTTGAAAAAATTTTTAAAAGCGAATACGTTGGGTTAACAACTACTTAAAAAATATTTTAAAAGCGAATACGGTGGGTTAACTACTACTTGAAAAAATGTTTTAAAACGAATGCGGTGGGTTAACTACTACTTAAAAAAATGTTTTAAAAGCGAATCCGGTGGGTTAACTACTACTTGAAAAAATTTTTAAAAGCGAATACGTTGGGTTAACTACTACTTAAAAAATATTTTAAAGCGAATACGGTGGGTTAACTACTACTTGAAAAAATGTTTTAAAACGAATGCGGTGGGTTAACTACTACTTGAAAAAATGTTTTACAGCGAATGCGGTGGGTTAACTACTACTTGAAAAAAATATTTTACAGCGAATCCGGTGGGTTAACTACTACTTGAAAAAATTTTTAAAAGCGAATACGTTGGGTTAACTACTACTTAAAAAAATATTTTAAAAGCGAATACGGTGGGTTAACTACTACTTAAAAAAATGTTTTAAAACGAATGCGGTGGGTTAACTACTACTTGAAAAAATTTTTAAAAGCGAATCCGGTGGGTTAACTACTACTTGAAAAAATTTTTAAAAGCGAATACGTTGGGTTAACTACTACTTAAAAAATATTTTAAAGCGAATACGGTGGGTTAACTACTACTTGAAAAAATGTTTTAAAACGAATGCGGTGGGTTAACTACTACTTGAAAAAATGTTTTACAGCGAATGCGGTGGGTTAACTACTACTTGAAAAAAATATTTTACAGCGAATCCGGTGGGTTAACTACTACTTGAAAAAATTTTTAAAAGCGAATACGTTGGGTTAACTACTACTTAAAAAAATATTTTAAAAGCGAATACGGTGGGTTAACTACTACTTAAAAAAATGTTTTAAAACGAATGCGGTGGGTTAACTACTACTTGAAAAAATTTTTAAAAGCGAATACGTTGAAAAATATTTTAAAAGCGAATACGGTGGGTTAACTACTACTTAAAAAAAATATTTTAAAAGCGAATACGGTGGGTTAACTACTACTTGAAAAAATGTTTTACAGCGAATGCGGTGGGTTAACTACTACTTGAAAAAAATATTTTACAGCGAATCCGGTGGGTTAACTACTACTTGAAAAAATTTTTAAAAGCGAATACGTTGGGTTAACTACTACTTAAAAAAATATTTTAAAAGCGAATACGGTGGGTTAACTACTACTTAAAAAAAATGTTTTAAAACGAATGCGGTGGGTTAACTACTCTGAAAAAATGTTTTAAAAGCGAATACGTTGGGTTAACTACTAATTAAAAAAATATTTTACAGCGAATCCGCGAATCCGCTTGAATGACCAATAGAATTTACTGGACTTTTCCTGGACTTTTGTTTACACATTGCGAGAGAGTGTATACTGCTGCAGATTTGACAAAGTCCAGGATAGGCGTTTTTTGCTCATCACTATTTTTTTATTGCTCCCTCACATTATTATGTTCCATGTCTCTCTTTCTCCCCTCTTCTTTCCACTATTTTTTTCGCTCCCTACTAATCCTAAAAGGTAAGTGGGAGGAGCCTAACTCTTTTAACTTTGAATCTTGAATAAATTTAACATTTAAACATTTAAAATTTAGTTTAACTTAATTTTAATTTACATCTTTTTTCAGGAATTATTTAAACCTCAACTGCAACACCAAAAAAAATCCAATTTTTCATTGTTTGGACGCATATACTTTCATGGGACGCATGTCCTAGGATAGAGACAATATTTTTATTTGAATATTATTATTAAAATATTTTAATAATGATTGTTGATTGTTGAATTGTAAAAATTATTAATAACTTGTAGGTATAAAGAAAAATTTTTATTATTTTTACCAATATCTTCCTAATCTTTCTCAATAACATTTTTGTATTTTTCAATTACACTTTTATTTTCACATTTATTAAAAATTCGAGGCGGAGGCGGCGGCTCCGGCACAGAAATTGGAGGCGGAAATCGGAACACGTGACGCACAGTATGCTGAGAATTAACGGAAATGGTGGCGCAAATCCTTAAAAGTTTTTTAGTTCACCTCAATTTTAATTTACATTTTTTCACGAATTATTTAAAAAGAATATTGAATTATTCAACTTAGACGGAAGGAAATAACGATACCAGTGGAAACAACAATAATAATGGTCAAAATTTTAAAAAAAATCAAATTTTTTTCAAAAAAATCTCAAAAAATTATTACTATTATGTGATTAAAATTTTATTTTTTATAAAACTACTGTCGAAGTTCGACATTTTAGAAAAATATTGATAATTTTTATTTTATTTCACATATTTTTCACGTGCTCTATTTCTTTCCATTTTTTATTTTTATACCCTCGATTATAGGGATTAATCATTTTTCCCTATTTTTTCTTTCTTACTTTTAAGTTTCACACACTTTAGCGCTAAAACACTTCCGCTCTTAGTGGCATGAATGAATAATTTTATTTTCCTATGAAATAAAATCTTCTTCTTTATATTTTTTAATCTTCTACAATCACTTAAAAAACTTAACAAACACTATTGAATAAAACTATGTTTTAAATTGGAATAAAAATTATTTATTTTTATTTTATTCTTTGGAATTGAATAAATTATTATTCAATTAAATAATTCTAATATTTGAATTAATTTAATTAATTCAATATTTTTCTTTATTGTTGCTAAAAAGAACCCGAAGAACTCGAATTTTTACTACTACTAATATTAAATAACTACTATAAAAACAACCACTTTTACTAATTCTACGACCACTTTTTGCCTTCTTTCTTGCTTTAATTCTCTTTACATTTATTTTTCTCTTGGTGGCGCATAGCTTGGGGTTGCATTTGGTCCATTTCTCTTTTCGCCTCGACTCATATTAAGAAAAGTGGTTGTCTGTTGAGTAAAATTGAAAAAGTGGCTGTGTGTTTGCGAATTGTAAAATAAAGTGGTTGTTTGCACAGGAAATGGAAAGGAAAAATGTATAGGAAAATAAATAATTCTCGACGTAGCAGATTTCAAGTCCTTCCGTGTTACTTGATGCCCTATTATGTAAATTCTTAGCATCCAATCAACTTGATTATGGTACAATCTGAAGACTCAAATGTGCTACTTTGATTTTTAACCGTTTTAAATCGATTTCTGTTCATTTTAAAGGGCTAGGGATTCATTAATTTTAGAGTTTGCCCGAAGGGCGAGAGTTCACGACCGAGATTATTGCGATTTTTGGTTTATTTCACGAAGGACAAGCATGAATTCATCTGAGGATTAATTCTCGGCTGAAAATAAGAAATTCGCTAATCTCGATGAAAGAGAAAAAAATTTGATGCTAAATGTAGCCTTTTGGCTGGATTGGTGAAGTGAAAAGTTGAGATTTTGTGTTGAGACGAAGCGTCCTCGTTGAAGGATATGAATTTTATGCCAATTCATTGCTGAATTGGCAAGATGAGCGTTTGGTCGGTTCGAAGCAAACTTTTGAGTGCTCGTAAAGTCAGCAAGTGACCCGAGGTTGGTTGTAAGACCAAATCTGTCTCGCCTCGTGTGTCGTTCTGGCGCCGACGATGCGTGACAAATATTCAGCTATCGCTTTTTTGGGTAAAATGTTACTCTCAGATTTCGTGAGTGAATTTTACCTAGATTTACGAGATATCTGGTTGATCCTGCCTGAACTGATGTGTTCATTTCAAAGATTAAGCCATGCATGTACAAGTTTAATCGTTTTAACGAGAAACCGCGAACGGCTCATTACAATGGCCATGATTTACTTGATCTTGATTATCTAAATGGATAACTGTGGAAAAGCTAGAGCTAATACATGCACCAAAGCTTTGTCCTCTCGGAAAAGCGCATTTATTAGAACAAAACCACGCGGCTTCGGCTGCTTCTTGTTGACTCAGAATAACTAAGCTGACCGCATGGCCTTGTGCCGGCGGCGTGTCTTTCAAGCGTCCACTTTATCAACTTGACGGGAGCATAATCGACTCCCGTGGTGGTGACGGATAACGGAGGATCAGGGTTCGACTCCGGAGAAGGGGCCTGAGAAATGGCCACTACGTCTAAGGATGGCAGCAGGCGCGCAAATTACCCACTCTCGGCTCGAGGAGGTAGTGACGAGAAATAACGAGATCGTTCTCTTTGAGGCCGGTCATCGGAATGGGTACAATTTAAACCCTTTAACGAGTATCAAGCAGAGGGCAAGTCTGGTGCCAGCAGCCGCGGTAATTCCAGCTCTGCTAATACATAGAATTATTGCTGCGGTTAAAAAGCTCGTAGTTGGATTCGTATCGGTACCCTGGAACCCTCCGGGTGTTTCTGGGTGTTATCGATTTATCGTAATGTTCGGTTTTGAGTCCTTAACAGGATTCTTAACAGGCATTGCAAGTTTACTTTGAACAAATCAGAGTGCTTCAAACAGGCGTTTTCGCTTGAATGATCGTGCATGGAATAATAGAAAACGATTTCGGTTCAGTTTTATTGGTTTTACGGACTGAGATAATGGTTAACAGAGACAAACGGGGGCATTTGTATGGCCCCGTGAGAGGTGAAATTCTTGGACCGTGGCCAGACAAACTACAGCGAAAGCATTTGCCAAGAATGTCTTCATTAATCAAGAACGAAAGTCAGAGGTTCGAAGGCGATCAGATACTTCGGGAAAAGAATTGGCTCTAAAGGTTGGGTCAGTCGGGCTGTTGCTATGATGGTAATCCTGCTTAGTACGAGAGGAACCGCAGGTTCAGACATTTGGTTCATGTGCTTGGTCGATAGGCCAATGGCGCGAAGCTACCATCTGAGGGATTATGACTGAACGCCTCTAAGTCAGAATCCCGCCCAGTCATGATAGCAATATATATCGCTCTCCGGTGTCGGAAGGCAAAATGTATACCACTTTAAGTGGCAGTACAAGCCCCAGTATCTGGCATTTTCCTTCTACTATAATTGGTAGTTGGTTGCTAAAAGCTTAGCACTCCTCGTGCAGGTGTAACGTCGGGGCGCAAAATCACTTGTATACGACTTGAATACTGGTCAGGGGGTTGTATCCAGTAGAGCAGCTCTTCGCTGCGATCTGTTGAGACTTAGCCCTTGATCGGATGATTTGTCTTTTTTATATACTATAGACCTGTTTATTTTTTACTTCCGGGCCAAGCGAAATCGCGACTATGAAGGCCCCAATTTCTCTAACATTCAATTTCTATCTAACATTTCCCAATTTCTATCTAACATTCAATTGTGTATACTTCCACTTAATGCTTTACTTTGTAATTTCGGTAACCCGGCAATTTTCAACCAAGCCCAACAATCCGAAACTAATTAAAACATTAACCCGGTTCAAAATGCAAAATTGGGAGCAAAGATGGCATTTCTACGGAAACCATGCCTTACTAGAATCCCCTCTCGACCTCCAAGGAACCACTACTATGGTCTCGACTCCCTTTGTGGGCTTAACCTTTTATACAATCGTTTAAATGGGTATAATGTTGATCACGTAATTTTTCAAGCCAGTTAAGCAAAGCTCTACCCTGCAACATATATTGTACTTTCTGTATATTGTACTTTCTACCTTGCAACATTGTACTTTCTGGGCTTCCACCCGATTATTATTAACAGAAACAATTGAGCAAGTTGTCCCCAATTCCTATCTAACAGGGAAACATTGATTACTGTTAGTGCGAACTTAATAATAGCATTCGATAGAACCCTCGACTTACTATTTGGAGTGATCCGTTTTTTTGCAAAATGCTGGGCCGTGTTACTTTTCGGTTTTGCCACACCCCTCCCATATTCGCAGGATAAAATTTCAATTCACCAACAAAAAAAGATAAAGTTTACTTTCAAATGCATCAAGATTGAAATTAATTTGTGAAAATTGTGTGAAAGCGGAATATTGAATCCAAAGGGAATACTCAGTGAAATTGTGGAAAAAAGAAGACTGACCTTTCTATACGAATTAAGGAAAAATAGAAAATATATCCCGCGAATATATGGGAGGAGTCTATAGGTCACAATCAGGGATGTCACGGGTTGAGAAAAATGTCGGGTCGGGTTTCGGATCGGGTTTCCAAAATTTTCTTCGGATCGGGTTTCGGGTCGAAAAAAAGTCCCTTTTTCAGCGCCGCAGACGAAAATTTTCAGAATTTTGGAGGTCATTAAGCTAAAAATCTTCCCTTTTTCTGCGACGCGGGCGAAAATTTTGAAAAAACTCGGGTCGGGTTTCGGGTCGGGTTCTGAAAAATAAAAATTCTCGGGTCGGGTTTCGGGTCGGGTTTTAGAAAATTTCTCGAGTCGGGTTTCGTGTATCGGGTCGAAAAAAAGGCCGGGTTTCGGATTTCGAGTAACACGTGACATCTCTGGTCACAATATACTGAATAACCTAGTATATTTCGAGCCGATCGGAGTCTGTTCCCTTGAAATTAATTTTATCCTCAAACATCCCAATACATAAATTTTGCTGCGCCATAATTCAACGGTGTCGTTTTGTAATAAAACATCACTTCGCAATTGGAAGGAGATCTTCTATCGAATGATACCAAAAATATATCAAATTTGAACTCAAAGTAAACAACGTTCTCTTGTTTGTTTATAGCCATAATAACCCAAAAATTTAAAATTAAACTTGCAAAAATACCACCAACAGAGCACAGACAGCAATTATAGTTGCGCAATTACAGTAAGGAGCAATTAATGTTTTTCTCGCTCTACCTAAAGTGAAGAATAAAAAATTAAAAAAATAATTTTTGATACAAACACAAAAATTCAAAAGAATCCCCAGAAAATTTTTACCTACGGACATAGGTAAAAATTTTTTTGAAGTTAAAATAGTTCTCGCACCATTGCAAAACACTCAAAGCATGTCTAGCATTACAGGAATACTCGAAAAAACACACAACCATGGGACCATAAATTAAGTGCCGAATTCCAAAAACTATGTAGCAGGTAACAAAACTATCAGAGGTAAATGCCTAAACCGAATTTAAATGATAAGCAGATAAACTGATAGGATGATGAGCTATATAGCAGATCTATCTGGTCAGAATGAATGGAAGGATATGAACGTGTGAGGTGTCATTCGACTTGCTCGAAGTTGAGTCAAACTAGGGGCGGGAGAAGTCGACCGATACTTATACTCGATCGAAAATCTCAAAACCATAGGGTAAAAAACCCATACAACCTCATTTTTGAGTGAAAAAACGGAATTTGTAAATAATAGCTCAATCGAAAGAGCTCTTCGACTGAGTTGAATGACTCCTCATACATCCATATCCGTTCACTCATTAAAAATCGAAAACAAAATTTTCGGAAAACCAAACCCCAAATTTTAAACTAAACCTTGATGGATCATCCATTATTCACACAGGTTGGAAAACCATTGCCAAAATTCAAATCCACCTTCTGAATAATGAATAAATTGAAGAAGCATAGAAAACATGTATCTGAAAAAACAAATTAATTAAAAAAAATCAGGTGAGAGAATGCAAAAATTTTAGAAGGGAAACAGAGATAATCGAAAACATGAAGAAGTAAAGGAAGCCATTTTTGAATTTGAACAAAAGAATGGTTTTTCTCTCTTTCTCTAATCCCCTTACTATTTCATTTTCGTTGGGGCAGGACACTTTGTCGCGGGGGCAGGACACTTTGTCGCGGGGGCAGGACACTTTGTTTAATTTTCCTGGATAAATTAAGCTATCGCGAAACTATTTATTTAAGTGTTGCATTAGTCTAGCTTTCCAACTTTCATATTCATTAGGCGTATAAATTTTCCGAGACTTAAGAATAACCGAGTAAAAATGTGTTTTTCATTAAAAAAAGTTTTTAAAATGAATTCCCAATTTTTAAATTTATTTTAATCAAATTAAAAGTTTAAAAATTTTTATTAAAAAGTTAATAAAAACAAATTCCAGCTAGCCGGATTCGAACCAGCGACATCAGGATCACCGCTAAACAACTACAGTCCCACGCTCTACCAACTGAGCTATAGCTGGACATATTGGAATTTTTCTATTCTTCACTTTTGTAAGGCGGACTTTGATCCGGATGGGCAAGGATGGAGAAAAGGAACTTTAGTTCCTTTGGGAAAGGATTGAATAAGGGGAGGAGAATGACAAATAAGGCCTTAGGATAAAACTAAGTGGAAAATAGTGAAAAGCGGATCAGTCGACTGTTCAGCAGTCCGTTGGAAGGTAATCAATAGAGAAGTGAATAACCGGCCGAAGAAGCTGAGAGCTTATTCATTAATCCTGCAGAAGAAGCCTAGAGCTTATTAATCAGCGCATATTATTCCAGGGTAAGTCGGTCTCGTAACCGACCAGCATTATACAAGCGCATAGAAAGGCCTACCCTCCGCTCCGCTATATACTCATCGGCATCGCCTCTCGGGACCCTTAACATCGCACGCAACCCGCCCAACATCCCAATACCATCCTGGCCCAGCACAAGCTTTACTCTTTTGAATGTAAAAATTGAGAAAAATAAATGTTTTAAATTTTTTATAATTTCATATTATAAGTACATATATGTAGAGACATGATTTTTAGGCAAATGCCTGTTTTTTTCCCAAATAGGCCTGATGCTGAAATGTCCAAATCACGATTTTTATGAAATCTGCTTTCTAACTAATTTTGTAGTTTCCTAAAATAGATATTTAAACTTTTTTGGGAAAATGCTCTATTTTGCCTTTTTCAGCATATTTTGCATATTTTTACTAAAATTTGCGAATTTTAGGGCATTTTTTGAGAAAATTCTGTCTAAAAACTTGAAAAGTAATAACTGTAATAATAAGTTGGTGAAAAGTAATAACTAAAATTAGAAATGGTACAATTTACGAGGAAATCGTAAATTTTGAAGCACAAAAATTAGAGACCGGACGGTACCTCATTACGACGGTATTTTTCGGTATTCCGTAGCTTTAGTACTGTACGGAAACCCTATAAAATTTTTTCAAAAAATTGTTGTCAAAAAATTTTTTTGTGGAAAATTTTCTTCAGAAAAATTTATGAAATTATTTTTGAAAACAAAATAATTAATATAAATTAATTTATATGTAATTCTAATCGTCAAAATCAAGTTATTTAAGTGTTTATTGCTTAGATTTATCTTTTTTTGCTAAAATTTAGTCAATTTAAATCAGAAAATCTCGAAAAAATACTGCCTATTCTGCCTTTTTTCGTATTTTAGTGCCTATTTTATCAGTTTGATAGTGCCTATATAGGCGCCTATTTTAACTTTATCGTGCCCAAAAATCCTGTCTCTACTAATCATAAAAAGATTTAAAAAATGAAGTTTTTAATTTTTGAGAAAATTTAACATAAAAAATTTTAAAGATAAGCTCCCAAGGTGTAGTACAAGTACGAGTACGATCAAAAAATAAAGTTGGTGAAAAGTAATAATAAAATTAGAAGTGGTAGTAGTAGTAAGTAATTCCGGTCTCTACATAAAATGCAAATTTTTTTTCTAAAATCTAAATGAATCCATGTTTAGTTGTGTTAGATAAAATAATTTCCAAAATAAAATCGCTGTTTTTTCTATGGGTTTTCTTTAAAAATTCTTCACTCAGAATCACTATCAGACTCTACTACATTTAAATCAATCGCCTTCCCCTTTCGTTTAGGATCATCAGAACGCTGTCCTGTTTCATAAGCAGTTGAATGTTCTGGACCTGTTGGCTCTAAATATTTAAAATTAAAAAAAGTCAGGCGTGTCGGGCTAACACGGAACAGACAAGTCAGGGAACGACAAGTCACGGAATACTCTGCATGTACAGTATTGTTCGGTTTTAATTTTGCCAGCATTCAATTTTGCCGTTATATTAAGAAATTATTATCCAAAAATGATAAATGATGACCTTTGGAAACTACATAGATCTAAAACGATTAATTCTGAGGTTAGAACTAGAGTTCAGCGGTATCGGGATTTAGACAAAAAATCGGGAGCAAAATTGGTACAATTCTTTTTTTCATGAGATGCGACTGGACCGAGATATAGGTCCAAGTAAATCTAAAACCTATAGAAATTTTTTAAATTTGTTAACAAAATTTATTAAAAACCCGGTTCCGCAATTGGTAACTAAAATTGGATCTGGTTCCACTCCAAAATTCTCAAAATTTTCGCCTGCGGCGCAAAAAATAGATTTTTGGCACCTTCGACGCCACAAAGAAGTACATTGAAATGCACAAAATGCTCATTTGTCAGTGGAAACTAGAAATTATTAGAAAAGATTCATTTAGGAGAGAAATATGTATAAAAGATTTGAGCACAAATAAATATTTTCTAATTTAATTTGGAGTGTACTTTAAATTTGGAAATTTTGTCCCTATGTACTCTAAAATCGAAATTTTTGTACTCTTGATTGGCATTTTGACGATCGGAACCCTGTTTTAATCGCTTCAACATCACAAAAAGCATGCCCACAGAGGTTTTAGCCTATAGATTTTGTTCAGAATCGCCAAATATAACGATTTTGGTATCAATCTACCCAGTCTGGTAGATTGATATTTTATGTCAAACAAAAAAGCTCAAAATTAAGGAAACAGGAAAGAAGGGT